GTCAACCTCAACTTCACCGTTAAAAAACAAAAGGTGTCATCAACATACCGACAGTCCATTTGAGGACAAAGTGGATTCTTTCGCATCTTTTCTTCCTGAAAACCAACAAATATGTTGGCAAGCGCAGATCCAAAGGCGAATCCATAGCGACTCCGTCGATCTGTCGGTACATGGTGTTGTTGAAACTGAATTCGACGGAGGAAGTGGCAAATTTCATCAATTCCTGAAATATTGACTCAGGAAAACTAGGTGGAGTCAATGAACTGCGATAAAGAAAATCACAGCAAATATCAATGGTTTCCATTAAAGGGACACAAGTATACAGGGAGCAGACATCGAAAGAGCACATGAACTTACCAGAAGAAGACAAATTTTGAACGCGGTCGACGAAGGAAAAAGAATCTCTTATACAAAATCCATCCAGGCACTGCAACACGGGATCCAAAAGTGTGAAGAGCCATTGGGTTACCTTGTGTTGGGCTGAACCGATCATAGATAAAATCGGTCGTAAAGGTACACCTTTATGGATTTTCGGGAGACCATATAATCGGGGACGAATCGAACCGAAAGGACGGATTTCGTTGGCAATTTCTTTTGAAAGTAGCGCTGACTTTACCCACTTTAAAAGTAATTTTTGAAATTTCGCTTCACCTGAAGAGGTTCCATCACAGGTGTTAGCGGAACCAAGTTTAGTAAATTTTGCAGTATCTTCTAAGATAGAAGACATTTTAGTTATATAGTCAGCTCGATCTAAAATAACTAGTCCAGCACCTTTATCTGGTCTGGAAATTATCAAGTTATAATTATTCCTCAGAGAATTAACAACACGCTGATGTTCTGCTTTCCATTTGGATTCAGCAGTTGCAACAGAGGAACAGGAAAACGTGTGTGCGAAATTATTCAACTGGGCTTTCAAATTAGTCAGCGCGTCGACAGAGGTAGGAGAGAGTCTTGCCAATTGAGCATAGAAAACCTCGAACTCGGAAAAAAATCTTCTCCTTGTCAGGCATAGAGAGTGGAATGGAGAAGTCCAATCCGTGAGAAAGAACAAAAGATTCTAACTCAGTTCATGCGTGGACAGATTAATAATATTATTTAAATTTGGTTCAGATGTGACTCCGTATTTCTTCTGAACCAAACTTTTCAACTTGGCATCTTGCTTTGTAGACAATTTAACACACTGCCGTTGATGGACAGATCCCAAAAACCTAGAGAACCTAATCCAATCAAAAAATGAAACTGAATTCATATGAGAACATAGTAATCTCCTGTAATCACGCTTAAGGCCAAGGTTTCTAGAAGAAAGATGTTGAATCCAATCTTTGATGAAGACAGACTCAATCTTCCAACCAGGATGTAACTTAGCCCTCCTCACTCTGAACTGAATGTATATATATATATATATATATATATATATATATATATATATTGTAAATCCATTCTTTATATTGTTTATGAAGATTTGATGTCTTAATTGACAATTGCTAATCTCTAAGTATTGCCTGTTTTAACTGGCTACATCTAGTCAGGAGAGTGATACATTTGACATAGGCTTAACTGATTTTACTTTTAATGATTCATATGTCATGCCTTATCTGATAAATCTTATCAAGTTGAAAGTAAGAATCTTCAGTGCAGATGAAAGTTGGTCAACCTCTTGACAAAATATGAAATATTCTAATATATTTTGTAATTTTAAAAATAGTCATTTGTTACTGCAAGAATTTCAATCTATTTGCCATCATTATTTTTGCTATCAGTTTCTAGTTGACATTTTCTTAAAAGAAAATCATGTCCCTTCAGTATTTAACGATTATGGCTCTCCACAACTTCCTTTTAATATCTGAATTGTGAAATACCATGGTTGTTCTTAGGAAAGGCAGTGGAGTGTCTCTTATTGCCTTCTTCATATTTTTAAAAAAGAGTTGTACATCCCCTGAACTGGTTGCCAAACAAGGTTAGAGAACATAATCAGGCTATTTTATCTACAACTGAGGGGAGAAAAGGTAGATTCATACCTTTCCATAAGTCCTTAGTGTGTAATAACCTCTTCTGAAACTTAAATTTCTCCTGCAAATTATATGCATCCAGAATTTATGTTATTAGGAAAAAATAAAGAAAAAAAGGTTTGAAGAAGGCAATAGAATACACCATCAAAAGCAGTGGTAAAAAGAAAAGTTCAGTCATTTGAACAATTCTTGAACTGAGAAAATATTAAAATGAATATATAAATCCAATATTCATCAAACTTTGTAAAATAGGTTATAATATAATATATAATAACAATAAATCTCTACTTTTCCTTTAAAGTTTTGATAACTATCTCAATGTCTCAGAGATAATTGCCTATCTCTTGTACAGATTGTCATCAAGGATGGATTTTTAAATGTATTACATTGGCTCATTAAGAAAATGTATTGAAATCTTTGTTCAATATGCACTTTCTCCTTTTCATCAAAAGTCTCAGTTTGTACTGACCTGACACTAAGATATTCAAGTGAAAAATGATGTAAAATTGTACAAAACAGTCACAAGTTTTATAATTAGTATTATTTCTATTTTTTGCTTTCATTAGCCCGATAATGCCTACTGCCCCAGAATAGGGAGTGGGGGCATTAATAAGGAGAAACCTATAATTAATACCATACTTTTATAATTAATACTGGATTTTTTCAAAAATCTGTAATTAATACCAGATCTTAGAGTGGACATTAATGGGTAAAATGACTTACAAGTTACATAACCACAACTGAATCAAGCATTCATCAAAACTATTATTATAGCCTAACACAGTTTTATAATGAAAAAATAAAACCAAATGCAATATTAGAGTAAAAGTGAACCTATTTAATGATTAGATTGATCTTGTATTGAGTTATCACACACACACACACACACTTTTACACATACTAACAGACTGGTCAAAACAAACATATAGCAGCAGTAGGGTGTAGGACTGCCAAAGCCTACATGTATGGGAGTTCCAGATTGGTCAGAAAACTATCCAATTGTGGCTTGTATTCGTGTTACTTCTGTGAGAGATACAAAACTCTTAGTCTGTTTTTGCCTCCAGGACATGGATAGACATCAAGGATTCATCTGTTCCTCTACTAACACTATACACCAAATGCTTTCAAAAGTAGAATTTTTATCATTCATTCACAAAAGGTAAAAGCTTTGTATGTCATATATATTGTTTCTCAATAGAATAGATGTTATATTTGAACTCTCTTCCAACTCGGCACAAAGCTGATTTGAGCTCAACTATTATAACCATTCTTATCATTACTTGCCCTAACTTACTTCTGTGCCAAAAAAAGGAAAATAGATATATAACCAAGAGACATTGAGAAATTTGTTTTGCTATTCTCTATAAAAATAAACTGTCTATAGTAGAAACCCATTTCTTTTTGTTGCTTCTTTATTTATGCCTACAATGCATACCATAAAACAACCTTAAATTAGATATTATTCATTTCTCTTTAAGTCTCAGCACATTGATTATAAAAAGATCTAAATAAAACTTATAAGACTACTCTCCATCCTTGAGTAATACACAATGTGCTGCTTGAACTGAATAGTTGGGCCAGAACCTGGTTAAGTTTCAGATGCTGCTTCTCAGGTGATCACTGTGGCTGATGCAATTGAAAAAGAAAAAAAAAAAAAAAGAGAAAGAAAAGAAATTCTGGTTCATTCGTGTGCTTCAACATCAAGATTGGACAGCTGTGACTAGACCTTGGGAAATGGAGAAAACAAAGATTGTAAGATATTCACATCTGTGTTACAAGGAGGGAACACAAGATAGCAAAATGGTTCCTCTTTTATAGTAACTGAACTCCTCCCTTCTACTAATTAGGGTTAGGGTTAACAAAAAAAAAAAAACAAACAAACATTAACTGACTCTCAGCCCATCAGATCAGAGATAGGAGCATCTCCACCCCTAAGTGCTTCAAGTTATCATGCCCAGTTAAAAGGTCGTTCTTCCACTCCCATCTTGTTTAATGAGTATAATTGCATATCGCTATAGACTACTAATCTCTAATAATAGACTATAAGAATAAAGAAAGTAAATTTTATTACTTTACTTAGAGTAGACTAAAAAGAGCTGTACTAATGTTTACTAATGTTTGAAAAATCAGCATTAATTCTGTTTCATTAAAACTGTTTTTTTTCCTTTTCATAAAAATGTTTTCCATTAACATCTGAAGTGGTATCTTTTCTTGTTTAATTCAAATTTCCTTTTTCTCTTTTTGGCCAATGTTTTAAACTAAGTTTTGCAATAAATTTTAAATGTTAACAGTTATTCAACTTTAATAAGTCACCATTGGCACAGGTAGCAGAACAGATATTGACATGATCAATATAAAAGGTTTCCAGTTTTTCTAAGACAGCAAATCACATGATTTCCTTTTCTTTCTACTTATAAATGAAGATTTATTAACAACCAAAAATGTAACGGATCAAAGATTTTATTTGTACAATATAAAAATACATTTATCATATTGAAATAAATTGAAGTCATTAGTCAAAATAGTTTTTACATACAAATTAATTTAATGCTGTTTTATAACCGCTTTCTTTTCACATTTTCATACTTTAAGAAAAATTAGGAAGTAAAAATGAATGTTATTAATGTTTCAATTTCATTTAAAGTTTATGAGGAAAGCTAATAGCCAACTAGAAATTTTATGTTAACCATTTTTTTGTATCACAGGCATTAGATCTGTAAAGAGATTTTAAAAATTTGTAGTATAACATTTGAAAAATACCTGAGAACACAACATTTAAGAAATTTAAAAAATGTAGACTTCAAACTAAAACCAATTTTACTTGTGAAGTTATAACTTCATGAGTAAAATTAGTTTTAGTTTGCATTTTTATTTCAATATACTTGAAAACAAAATATAATAAAAAAAGAGAAAGAATAATGGAGGAAAAAAGTCAGTTATTCTTCTGGATATTCCAACCTAATTAAATGAATGTTCTAAATCTTATTATGGTTAATCAGAGAGTCCACATTTACCCTCTTCATCACAATCTTTCTCTTTAACTATAAGTACAATCTTTCCCATATTTTGGTTGGCTTCCATCCTTTCATGGGCAGCTGGCAATTCATTTATAGAAAAGGTGCTGTCAAGAACTGGTTTGAAATCACCATTCTTAAAGTGGTCCAAGATTTTGTTTGAAAAATCTTTAACAAGTTCACTTTTATACTGGAGAGAAAAAAAAACAAAAAAAAGTTAGTTCATTGGCTTTAAGAATAGTCCACAAACAATATCCACCCATATTTAGTTACATTTTATAAATTAAAAGATATAAAATAACTTAATGTGAAAAACCAAAGTTTTTGATTTATGCAATAATCTGTGCAACATTGACATTGAAATACAAAACAATGTGTTAAACAAAAAATAAAAAACACAAACCTCATCTGATCTTGATCGAAGTGTTGTAGCTGTTAACTTAATACGTTTTGCCAACAACTGACCCAAAAGATTTCCATTTACATGTGGTCCACCTGGAAGGGAAAGGTACATGGATGGATATAAAAAACACTGGGTTCTTGTTATTTTACGTTTATCACTCGAGCTGCTGATTTTTATTTTAACATTGTCATAAGTAAATATAACGTTGCTTCTTTATTTGGAATAGGGATAACATTTCAACATGACAACATTTCAGAGTATTTTGCTGTTATGAAAAAGGGGTTTTATAATCAACTACAGATTACTTTTCTATATTCTAAAATGTAATACTTCAGTATGACTCTTGCAAAAATAAATTAATTTTTTAAAAATATTACACAACAGGATAATGCACTGTGTCATTGGACCCCAGTTGGCCTGCATTGCTTTCACTAGTATTCTAGAGATTTCCAATAAATGGTGTGGCTACCACATTCACTGAAAATGAGCCCAACCAAGCATTTATGCAACATGATGGGAGTTCTATTTGCATGCAAGATACTGCACCTAAAATACAAGAGAGCTGTGCACAACTATTGAGATGTCATAGCTCAACATTTCTCCAGAGTTGTTCCAATTGCTTGTGGAATCAATACTACATCAAGTTGCTGAACTTTACTGATTTAAAGGATGTTCTACACAATACTACCACCTTTTGGCATGTCAGTGTAATTTAGATTTCTAGATTTTTAAGTTATTTTAAGCATTTTAATCAAAGAATTAAACTTTTAAAAAAATTTTTCTTTCTTACATGCTGATCCTTGTTCTTGCTTGAATAGATAACAATTTGAGAATATTGTAAATTTGAGTAAAAACCACTTTCTCTTAAGTGCATAGTTGAATAAATTATCAGTAACTTATGGTAAATATAAATCAGACAAGAAAAAAAAAATTCTACCAAGAATACAGCAAATACAAATTTGCCATATTTTTTAAATAAAACTTACAAGAATGTTTCATAATATGTCACATATGCACATGAACAAATAACAAAAGTTCAAAAAGAGAACTAACCGAGAAGTCCATATAAAATCCAGCGGCCATCTTTAGCCAGGCACTTGATATTTTTCTCCCAGTAAGAACCTCCAACACAGTCTAGTACAAGATCAACACCTTTTCCTAAGGTGAAAAAAATGGAAAACTGTTACTGTCTCTAAAGAGATTCATAATTTTAAACAAAACAAATTTCAAAGTGTAAAAATATTGTAGAGTAAATAAGACACCCTGGTAACACAAAATGAACTAGGCAAGATGCCTTAAATATAGAACTCAAAGAGTGTCAAAGGAAGTCTGTTGGAGTGAGTCAAGGAGAATTTCTAATGACATCATGGCAAGTAGCCTAAGCAAGGCATAATATTATAACCACTAGGAGCAAGTTATAACAATGGTGATGAGGCATTGAAATCCATACAGTGTAGAAAAAAGTACTTTTCTTTAGTGCACATGATAACAGTTATGAGAAATTAGAACCACATTGGTTTAATTTTTTTTCTTTGGTATCTGTAAAAAAGAGAAAAAAATAAGAGATATTCTTTAAATATGGAAGACTTATTAGCTCAAGTGGTAAAAATACAATGGCAACAACAGCAGTTATTGGAACTCCAGAAACAACAATGAAATTTAATTGAAATTATATGGAAGAGAATGAAAATTTTCCCAAGTTCTTTCATCACCGACATGGTGGCAAATGCCATAGCTGAATTCAGATGATGGAATTACCTTTTCTGCTTATTTTAGAAGATACAAGCAAATTTTCAGACAAGAATGCAGGGACTTGGAAGACAAGAAAAAAAAGTTTTATCGAGAAAGTTAGCACCAGTAGAACATGAAAAATACTGTAATTTTGTACTACTGAAAAAAAAAAAAAAAAAACAGGAGAAATTCGTTTTGAAGAAACAGTAAATATTTTGACTAAAATTTTTTATGAGAAAAGTTTGTTATTCAATACTCATTGGAAGTGTATGAATCTGATGAAAAAAGACAAAAATTTTGTCACATATACTGGAATTGTTAACAAGGAGCATGAAAGATTCAAATTAAATGAACTGACTCCATGTTTAAAGGGTTAATTTTCATGCATGGATTAATGGTAAAAAAAAATATGGAAATATGTGCTAGAATTCTAACAAAACTTGAACAGAATCAAAAACTGACACTACAAGAAATATCGAACAAATGTCAGAGAATCTGGAATCTGAGATGTGATATGGAAGAAATTGAAGAAAAAGTATGTGTATACAAACAAGCTAAAGAAAAATGTGAAAAAAGAAAAATTAATCTATATTGCAAATGTGGAAGGTTGCATCTCAGAGATGACTGTTCCTTTAAGTGCTACAAGTGTGGAAAAATAGGACATAAAAAGTCATACTGTAAAACTAAATCAAGGAAAAGCTCTCATGGAAAAAATTTGTACACAGCATTATGATGAGAAAAAGTAATTTCAGAAAACCAAAGAAAATTTGTATATGTGAAATTAACAATGTGGATGTAAAAATGCAACTAGACACTGATAGTGATATCACAATAATCAACAAAGCCACATAGAGAACAGAAAACCTATATTAAACAGAACTTCAAAAATCGCATGTGGCATGTTGGGCAAGAAATTATTTTTTATTGGTGAAATGATTTGTAACGTTTCATTTCATAACAAGTGTGTAAAATCTTATAAGTTAAAAAATACTACAAACTTATTCATTACTGACTGGATTAAATTATTTGAGTTCTGGTTTTTACCTATGAATATTTATTGCACAAATGTAAGTGGACAAGCTACCACTTTAAAAAACAGTGTGAAAATTTAAAGAAAAAATTGAAAAAAATATTTTCTGGATGTCCTGTTTGATGAGTTGGGTTAGGTTTCAAAAGTCAAAGCAAAATTTCAAGTGAAAAAAGGGTTGATGCCAGTATTTAAACCAAAATGTAGTGTATTGTTTGCAGCATTGGATCAAGTCAATTAAGAATTAAACAGATTTGAAAAAATAGGTGTAATTGAAAAGATTAATGATTCAAAATGGGGAGAAGCACCAGCAGCGTATGTAAAGAAAAAAAAAAAAAATTTTTCAACAGGATTAAACAAATGTTTAGAATCCCATAACCACCCATTAGTAGAGGAAATTTCTGTGAATTTAAATGGTGGAAAAAATTTTTTTGAAGCTGGATCTTTCTGAAGTGTTTTGCAAATACAGGTTGAAGAAAAATGTTAATAACTATAAATACGTACAAAGAGTAGTAATGCCTATCATATTACAAAAGCGAATATTAAATAAATTTCATAGTGGACATCAGGGAAATTCAAGGATGAAATCTCTTATGAGAAGCTATACAGACTGGAACAGAAAGGACACAAAATTTTTCAAAATTGGTGAAAGTGTTTTTCCAAACATATAAAAATGGAAAAGAAATGTGGAAAGATGATGTAATAATGTCACAAATTTGAAAAATGACATATATGGTGAAAGGAAAAAAATGGGAACACAAAAGGTATTGGAATCAGTTAAAAAAAAGGTTTACTGAAGAAAGGCCCACAAGAAAGGAAGAACCTATGCAAGTAATGTAGGGGAATAAATTTTCCACAATCATGGAATTGCGAAAGGAATCGTGGAATCGTTAGTCTTAAATGGAATCTGGGTTTTTAATGTAATTTTCAATAATAAATAACAAATTAATTAAATGAATTATTTGATTTTTTTAAAAGGTGTTTTTTAATTCTTTCAATACTTAATAACTGTCTCTCTGATTTTGTTTTAATATCGCAATAACATAACAACATAGTTATTTCCTTAAAATTTGTTTTTACAAATCTTTGTAGGTATTTTCCTTATAAAACCGAAAAAATAATTAAGAACAAAAATGTTAACATAAAAAAATAAAGAAAAGATATTTCCTAAATTAAGAAATTAGTGATTTTAAATTTGAGCAGTATTTCAACTTGGGATAAGTTGTTTTATTTAAATTTTTTGAGAATATGTTGGCTAGTCTATTTTAAAATATTTTATAACTTTTCTAAGAAACTGTATGTTGCAAATGAGATGAAAGTCAGAAGGTCACAGCTTGGTCATGGCCAACGAGATCCATTGCTAAAGTGGAAATGGAAGACAGATGTCAAAATTGGAGGAGGGAGAGAGAGATGAAGATCAAACCAATAAGTTTAAGAAATTCATTTCCTTTAGGCCTCACACAATTTATTGTAAAAGATTCTAAACAACTTGTAAGCTTGTTTTATGAATATGAAAAAGTAAATGCTATCATGTGCCTACCATATAATTTAGAAATAAAGAAGAAACAATTCTCCAAAAACACTATTCTATGAAATGACTGGCTTGTCTAAACTTACCATCACACAGTGATTCTTCCAGATTAATAATTGTATCATCTTCAGTGCTTCACCATTGTAAACAAATTTAAACTGAACAAAAAAATCCTTTAATAGCATTAACTATCAATGATTATTTTTTAATATTTTTATATTTTGTAATCTAAACCAGTTGCAACAAATTGCCAAGATGACTGAATCGAGTCAATATAGTGAATCAACCTTAAAATTTGGCTTTGCTTCTCTCAAAAGAAAAAAAAAAGAAAATGACCACAGTATCTAAAATTTGTGCTAAAGCCAGAGTAGAGCAATTTCCTGATGACTTTTATGCAGAAGAAAGTATGTTATTTTGCAAATTCTGTCTCCATAATGTTGACATTTTTAGAGTTGACACAAAGATCACATCCAATTAAAAACACATTTGACAAAAAAATCTTCAAAAATGTCTGCTCAACTGAAACAGAAGACAATCACAACTTTGTTGAAGATTAAAGAGGTACAAGATGATTTTGTCATTGATTTTTTGAAAATGTGCACTTTGTCTGACATTCCCCTACACAAAATTGACAAAATGAGGCCATTTATATTAAAACATTGTAAAGAAAGTGGTGCTATTCCAAGTGTCAATTGTGTTAGGCAACTTCAGCTACCAAAATTGTTTGCTTGTCACTTTGCTGCCCTAAAAGCCAAGCTTGCTAATCAATCAATCAGCATCATAACAGATGAAACAACTGTCATGACCACAACATTTTGAATGTAATTGCAAGCATTCATGGGGAATCATTTCTCATTGATGTTGTAACCTTGTGAGAATGCAATCATCAAACTGTAAGTCAGGTGTGCATCCAAGCTCTAAGTCATGTAGATATTGCATTTGAGGATATTATTGCCTTTGTAACAGATTCTGCAGTCTATTGCAAAAAAGCTCATAGTGAAGTGTTGTCAAATGTCTTTGTTAACAGTTGCCATGTGTTGTGCTTACGACATATCTTAAATCTTGTTAGTGAAGTATTTCCACACTGGCCAGCATTTGATAATTTTACCCAGCTAACTACTTTCATCAAGTCACCCGTTTTCTTAAAAGGTCTAGTTGGAAAAAGTGGTACTTAAAATGGCTTGAAGGTTCCTTGCCTAAGGAACAAGTGAAACTACCCCTTGTACCAGTAGCAACCAGATGGAATTCCTGGTTTAATGTGGACAAATATCATTCATCCTTTCTACAGTTTTATGAAGGATTCTTTAAGCAAGAAAAGAACCATGGCCTTGCCATAGATAGGATACTAGAATTAGTAGATGATAGTCAGCTATATCATGCCTCATACCATAATTTGTGCCTAAATCAGCATTTTATGAATGAGAACTGCACTTGTTTAATAACAGCTGTAGCAAACTTAGAAGAAAGTAAGTCTCCACTTGCATGTGTTTATATAATATGATGGAGGATGTAAAATAGTATTTGCATACTGGTACATCAAAATCATCATTTGGCCTAAAAACTGATTGTCTTCTGTCTGAACTAGAAAACACAGAGAGGGAGAAAGTTATCTCAAATTTCTAAGATTTATTCAGTACATCATTTTCAAAACTGAATAAATACCTGGATACCCACCCTGTGTATAACGTTTACAAGGCAGCTTACCTGTTTGATCCTAGACACCTACCCTGTATAGGCCATGTTAGAGACAGTTTTGTAGCCATCAAAGACTTGCAATGTCTTTCTACTGATCTTCTTGAAGAATTCCAAATGTATGTGAATTACCAAGATGATTTACCAAATCCTTTTAATATCCCATCATTTTGGAATGCAAATAAGAGCAGATTTCCTCATCTGGAACAGATTGCCAATAAGGTCATATGGATGCCTGTTATCAGCATAGATGATGAACATTAATTTTCTCAGTTAAAATTTACTCAATAAACAACATGAAAGTCTTACCCCTAAGAACACCAAGCAACTCACAATGTTGTATTACAATGGAGATTTAGAAAAGAGATTTGAAAATTAAATATTTCCTAAATTAAGAAATTATCAATTTTAAATTTGAGCAGTATTCCAACCTGGGATAAGTTGTTTTATTTAAATTTTGAATTAATATGTCTAATTTGTTTTTTGATATTTTGTTAGAAAGATCCAGTTCTTATGGTTTAATTACTGTTTTGTAAAATTTTAGTCAAAATGTTTGACTTTATTCAGATATTTATTATTGACATCCAAGTTATTTGCTGTTGATACTTTAAATGATTTTTATATTATGAATCAATAATTATAAATCAATCTAAATCCTTTTACATAGAAAAACAAAAACAATTTGAATGTTTGAACATGTTTTGCTATTTCTTTATATGCAATAAAACTTCAAGTTATATTTTTGTTTTCAGTTTTAATAATAATTATAGTGTGTTGTATTGCAATTTTCTTATAAAATACTATAAAAATGGAAAAAATGAAATTTCCCAAAAGTAAAAACGAAAAAAAAATAGAATTTATCAAAAGTGGAAATGGAATCAAGGAAAATTTGAAATGGAAAATTGGGGGCCCTAGTACTGTATGATATTTTTGACATACTGCGCCTAAAGAATTTGTTGACATACTGTGACAAGAATTTGTTGAACATACAACTAGGATTACCAAAAAAAGGAAATGTATGGAAAAATTAGAGATTAATCCAATACAAAAGAAATACAAAGATCAGTATGTGGTGAACTCTCCAGAATGAGGAGAGGGTAGATACTAAGAAATAAAATATTTACTAATGAAAAAAAAAAATCTCAAAATGGGCAGGGAGGATGTTGTGGAGCAAATCTGGTAACACAAAATGAATTAGGCAAGACTCCTTAAATAATGAACTGAAAGGGAGCCAGAGGAAGACTGTTGGATTCAGTTGAGGAGAATTTCTAATGATGTCATGGCAACTAGCCTAAGGGAGGCACAATATTATAACCATCTAGGAGAAAGTTATAATAAAAAATAAAAAAATTTAAACATCAAATTATTTTGACCAGATAAAGTGGCATCTGTCTTGAGAAGCAATGGGGTACCACAGAGTGTTACAGGTTTGGCAGCAGTTATGGAAATCTTGCACTTTTGCTCAGAAATTATCTCTCAACTTCATAATCAACTCTTCTGGCGTATCTTTGCCTGATTTTCTCCCTAGAACAGAATTTCTGAGTGATATGCAAATAATTCTGTCCATGGTTTCTATCATATCCAGATTTTATGGTATCTCTGCAATTGCTCTAAGGAAATGTGCTCCTGAAATGATTCCTGTTCTCTCCAAACTGTACAATTTGACTTGCAGTTTCTTGCTTTCCACTGGTCGAAAATCCTCCTCTGTAGTTCTTGTCATTAAAAAAATGTAGCAAACATTCTGACCTCTCAAATTATCATCCTATTAGTCTTTTACCACTTTTTGGCAAAGTAGTAGAGGCACTAATCAACATAGAATTGGTTAAGCATTTCACGTCTCATGACAGTATGGCTTTCATTTTTCTAGGTCTACTGCCAATGTGCTAATGGTTATTACTGAATTTTTCTATCAGGCTTTAGATAAGAACGTCAAGACTTGGGCTGTGGTTTTAGATAAATGGAGGCATATAACAGGGTTTAGCATGCTGGCCTTCTCCTCAAGCTCAATGGTTAAGGTGTCGCTGAAAAAATATTTGGCTTAATCCAATCATAACAAATGAAGGTTGTATTCAAGAAATACAATTCTAGATCATTTCAAATTAATGCAGGGGTTCCCAGGGCTCTATCCTTGGATCTACATTATTTCTTATCTTCAGCAACCTTCCTAATGTCATCAGTTTCCAACTAGGTATTTATGCTGATGACAACTATTCACTAGTGTCTTCTTGGTCCCTCAACTGCATGAATTTAAGCATACTACTGGATTGACAACTAGGTCTCACCGTTCTACTGTTGAACTAATTAGATGTTACCATATGTTCTATTCTAATAGTTTATTTTCTCACACTTCTTGCCTGTGGAACTCTCTTCCACTTTCTTGCTTCCCTGCCACCTACAATCTTCAAAAATTTAAATGCAATGCCAATCACCATCTTCTGTCTTTCTGAATCCTATTGTCCTTTCTCCTCACCGAAGTCTTCTTGTTCTCTTTCACTCCCAATAATCTCTTGCATCTTAGTGGCATTATCATCTTTCTTGGAGTGAACTAAATAAAAAAGGAAAAAAAATGTCATTTAGGTACCAGCACAACCACAAGGAATTGCTGGAATGTGAAGTAGTACATCAAGTCACCTTTGGTGCTCCAATCAAGATTTGTGCCAAGTTGTCTCCTTAGTCTTTTTCTGCAGATACCCACAAAGCAAGGGGGAGGGTAATTTAGGAGTTTTTCTCCTAGACTGGCTGCCACCTAAGGCAAGAGAACTCAGTTTAAACCACAGCTGGAAGAAGTTAGATTCATGTGGCTTTCAGGTATCTCATTGAAAATTGGTTATTTCTTAAAGTTAAAAAGAATGTCTGAATACTTTGTGTTGCAGTCTCCAAAGCATATTTTGAATATATCTGTGAAAAACAGATTGTTCCTCAAGGCTTAAAACAAAAATACTGGTAATGTGTGTTTTTAGATCAGTAATAAAAGAGAGAACTTTGATACCAAATACAAATGCCAAATAAATATGGGTTTGTTAAGATGATAGTACCAAATAGCTGCCAGTAAAGAACTTGAGTAGAGTTTAATGTAAATATCATTGAAAATGGTCATAGGCCAAAATAAAGCACTGAATAGAAACAATTTGAGATAAAGTAAGATAATAACTGTTTAACCATACAAAATTTAAATTAAAAAGCAAATGTAGTTTTCAGTATTAAGTTCAGACAAACCAAGATACAAACATGTCTAAAAAGCAATTGCTAAAAAAGCAATGTTTAGCAACTGGCAATTAGCAAAAAAAGTTCTTACACACTATGCGCAAAAAAGAATTTTCTTGTACACATGGAAGAAAAATATAAAAAGAAACTTAATTGCAGTGCCTTGCAATGAAACCTGTATAAGAAAAACACACGCACATATATATATATATATATATATATATATATATATATATATATATATATGAAACATTATGATTTATCACACACCCTTAGGAGGTAAATAGATTTATTAACCAGGGTTTCTTAGGAATCTTGTCCCCCACCTATCTTTGAGTCAGTTTAATGACCAGGATTTTTCAAGAGTACTGTCTCCAGCCTGCCTGCAATTGGGGTGAACTGATTAAAAAAGGAAATTGGCAAACATAAAATTTTGTCAGATAATCATAAAAGTAGAGTCCTTTGAAAAACTGACCACCCAAAAGCTGAATGGATGGTCCCATTTTCCAGAACACAAATGGACAGATATTGGTGGTGAGTGAAGCAGCATACAGTGGGGAAAAGACCAGCAGTAATTAAGTCAGAAATCACCAAGATGGTCAGGCATGTGAGTGTAAGGTCCCTTTTCCATGGAAAGAAGTTAGTGAGATAGCAGGAGTTCATCTTCTCAAAGCTGAAGGAAGGCATTGCCTATGAAGTGAGAAATTGTATTTTTTGCTATTTCCCAACCAGTGTCTTGAAAAACATGTGCCATTATTCTTTGTTAAATTTGGTCACAGCTAGTGAGACAAACCTATATATATATATATATATATAACAAAATTCATAAAAAAAACAAAAATAAAACATCAACCACCATCTTGTAGAAAATATGTTCTCTCAAAACTGCAGAACCTTGACACTACAAACACTTTTGTAGCCAAATTAAGTCTGGAACTTAGTTCTAATCCAGTCACTGACCAATCTATGGAGAACTATCCATAATATAGACACAGAAACAGCAAATACTGTCATCAGTTTCACTAGGACCAAGAATCAAGACTGATTTGATGAAAACAACTTGACTGAGGTAAAAATAAATGCTTGTCTGAGTCATGAACAAGACTGAAGATCCAGTCTCAAAAAGCAGCATTTCCAGAAGTTAAAACAGGAGTGTCAAACAAAACTAAGAGAACTGCAGAACATTTGGTGACAATAAAAAGCAGTCAAACTTCAGGGCTATGCAAATGCACACATGATCTCAGAAGTTTCTATACTACAATGAAACAACCATTTGAACCAGTATGACCATCAACGGGATTCCTTCTGGCAGTTAATAATACAAAAACCCTGACTGATCCACAAGTTAAGCTTCTTGATTATCCAAGATACAGGAAATTTAAATTCTTTATTAGGTCAGTTTACAGTTTTAATTATTTACAGACTTTGGGGAACACAAAGAGATAAAAAGTCTCACCATTTGTCAAGCTCATCACCTCTTCAGCAAAATCTTTTTTCTTGTAACAAATAATATGTTCAGCGCCATACATCTTTGAATTGGCTAACTTCTGTTCAGTTCCTGCTGTTGCTATGATAACAGCTTTAGCAAGCTTTGCTAATTGAATAGCAGCTGTCCCCACTCCACTGCCTGCTGCATGAATCAACACAGTTTCACCAGATTTAACTTCACCTGTAACAGACAAGTAACATAAAAATTAAGTAAAATGAGGACTATAAGAGTAAAATTCATGAAAATCTTTCACAAAAAGCATTAAAATAGGAACACTTTCCTAACTTGAGATGACCAGAACTTGGCAGCTGATCTCTCTTCTGACCAAGCTTTAACAGCTCAATGGTGGAAAAACTGGCTGGTTTCATTCAGTGCCTCAAAAACCTAACTAGTGATGTTCCATCATCACTGAGTGGACCCTGAATTTTCATCGACCACAATGAATGGGTGCACTCTCTCAATCCAAACCTCAAGTGAAACTCATGCATAGGATCCATCACTAAAGATGCTGGATGCCTGAACTGCTCCAGTAAATATACCTGCTCCTCCCATTATCCCCTATCTTTACAAGAGCCAGATCATGCCAAAGATGGAGTACTGCTGCTAAAACTAACTTGACAGGTTTCCTCTGGTTTTTGTCAAAGTTCTGTAACAAATATCATTGGAGAAATACTACTGGAGTAGATACCTTAAATGTAAATACAAGAACAATATTTTTTTTGTTTTTTTGCATGATACTTCTAACATAATTCTATCAAATCATTGTGACCTTTCTATTGAAGTTTAATTCTGCTGGTGTGTTTCTATTCTACTTTTGATTATTAAAGCTCTTAAAAAGTGCATACAAAATTACTTTGGATATGGAAAAAAAACAACAAAATACTTCATGTGCTCAATAGCTTGATATTTCAAAGATTTTCAAATTCAGTTGAAGTGAATTGTGTTCCATTTTCTGAAACTATTGTTACCTGGGATTCCAAATCTGGAAAATAATTCCAGTAAATAAGCTACTGTTACTGCCAAAGTTGCTCTTTTGCACTTCAAAATTTCATACCATTTTGTAAAAGTTATCCTGCTACTATTAAGCAATCTCACAGAATACTCACAGATGAAGTTTAGGAGAGAATAACAAAAAGACAACTTTTATTAAGTGCTACAAGAGCATCTTAGTAAATGTGAATAATCAAGAATATTTTATGAAGCAAATTAAAGTTTATTGGACTAGCCATTGTCATTTTTGCTAGAGGAAAACATAAGTGTATGTGAATGTATGTGTATCTTTTCAAGAGGGCACTGAAAAGCAACTCACGCAACACAACAAATGACTAGGAATCCAGGCCAATATTATTGTTTAGTGCTTTATTAAATGATGACAAGTTTCTAGGATTTCTTGAATATAAGGATGATTTGTGTTCTTTGCTTTAATTGCTGTTAAACTAGATAGGGAGTCCAAGAAGATTATAAATTTCCTATCTTTTGAATTATCTATCATTTACGTGCCATTTTTATAGCTTGTAGATGAATGCATTGTTTGGTAGCCTGATTGGTTTGTGAATTTGTCTGTTTGTGGCTGCTGCACCTATTCTATCTAGGATTTTTGATCTATGTAGAATGGTTTATAGTCATGAAATTTGTCTTTTAATTCTCTGTATATGCTTTTGTTGATTGTATCTTTTTTTTATATGGGTCAATTTTAGGTCTGTGTGAGGTTTGGAGATTGTCCATAGAGCTACCTTATTTATTGTGACTGGTGTTACATTATCAAGATGATTTTTTATTTGTTCTAGTGCTTCTTTGATTCAAAGTCCAAATGAAGAGATGGCTGTTGGTTTATTTCTATAGAACTGGATATATTCATCTTTTTTGGTATGCTGTGTTATTTGGGTTGGATTTAGTTTTAGTGCATATTGGAGGGATAATTTTTCCCATCTTGGAGATATAGGTGGTTGATTGGCTTCCATATAGAGACTTTGCATGTCTAGACTTAATCTCAGGCCTTGATTTTGTATGGTTTGTAGCTTTTAAGATAGGATTTATGTATGGCACTGTAAATAATGCATCTATAGCCTAGTTTTGATTTGATGTGTGACCTTTTCTGAGCATTACTTTTTGGTCAACACCCCAGTTCAGTTTTGATATTAGTTTTTAGAAGCTTCAAAAGGCTTTTGGCATTTTTGTTTAAGGTAATCAATATGTGCTTTGAAGTTAAGTTTGCTATATAGTATGATTCCTAGATATTTTATTTGTTGAACTATGGGAATTTAATTTTAATTCTGGATTGAGTTGATAGGCTCATTTTTGCAGAAATGCATACAAACAGTTTTTGTTTTGGAGAAACAGAATCCATTCTCATTTGTCCATTTTTCTATCTTGTTTAAACATATTTGTATATATCTTTCAAGGGAAGGTATGTTTGATGATGACTATGATATTGAGAGATCATCTACATATAGGAATTTTTCAATTCCTGTATCAATGTTTTTAATAATACTATTAATTTTGAGAATGAATAAAATGCTACCTTGAAGTACCCCAGCTTGTGCACGTCTGATGTTGTGTTTCCATTTCATACTTTGAATATTTGGTTTGATAGGAAGTTTTGTATGAATATAACCATTCTTTCTTTTATTCCAATCTTGTGCATGTCTTTTAGGATAATGTTCTTCCATGTGGTGTCATAGGCTTTTTCAAGATCAAAGAATATTGATACCACATGATGAACTCAAACAAAGCCATCACAAATAAAGGATTCTAGCCATACAAGTTGATCATTGGTTCCTTGTTTTTTTTGGAATCCACTTTGGTAACTAGATAAGAGATTGTTTCTCTTCAAGAACCACATTAGTCAAGCATTTACCATTCTCTCCATCATCTTGCAAATGCAACTTGTTAGTGTAATGGCTTACTAGTTTGTTGGATTGGAATAATCTTTGTCAAAATTGGTAGTGGATTTCATCTGGACCTGTTGCAGAATTTTTTTCTTTTGTTTATGGTGTCTTTTAAAAGTTCTGTCATAGTGAAGAGAATATTGTTTTCTTCTTTATTGTTTGAAGTGAATATAACTTTTTCTTGATCTATAATGTTTTTATACTTTTGAAATTTAGAAGTGTAGTAATTTGTTAAGGAATTTCTTTGAAATTCTGTTGCTATTAGATTATTTCTTTTTTTTCCAGTGCATTTGTCTCCATTTGTTTTGGTTAAATGGACTGCTACAATTTGTAATGTTTTTCCATTGATTTTCCTTATTATTTCCCATATTTATTTAGTTTGTTGTTTAATCTGGAGATATAGTATTTCTAAGTTTCTCTTTTGGATTTTTTGAATATATGGCATGCTTTTGGTCAAGCTTGCTTGTAGCTTTGTAAGTTGATTGTAGTTGAGCTGTGTCAGAATATCATTAGCATTTTTTACTGGTTTTCTTGAGTTTTGATTTGATATGTGATTTAAAGGAAGATTTGGGTATTGTTTGTCTTGCTATTTATGTTAGTATGCTAGACTATTGGTTCTGGTTCATTGAGAATTTCCATATTGATTTGGGATGAGCAGAGTTCATTGAATTTTAGCCAGTTAGCTTTGTGTAGTTGCCATTTTGGATTCCTTGCATAGACCTGCTTATAGGTGAATGGTTACTACCACATTGGTCATCATGAACTTTCCATTGAAAGTCCATAAAAATTGATAGAAAGCATATGGTTAGGTCAATGGCTGATGTTGATCTGATACCTGGGTGTAGGTATGTGTGCATTTGGTTATTAAGGATATAGAGATCAGATGATTCTTGTAGAGATTCTATAATTTTACTAGTTTGATTGGGGTTCCTACAACCCCACATTTTGCTGTGTGCATTAAAATCTCCCATTAGTAGAAAAGGAGTCTTATTCTGCCCGTGTTTTGGAGGAATATAAATTGAACATATAGTTATTGTTCAATGAATTGAAGCTTTTACTACCATGATCTGTGAATTGTAGTTTTTCATGAGGTATTGATTTTTTTTTTTTTTAACCAATTCTGAGGTACCCCACTTGGCCTATTCTCTATTGTTGATATATATATTTTATGTTAAGTTTCATATCCTTTAAAGGAGATGTTGTCAGTTTCTTTGAGAAAGGTCTCCTGTAATCAGACTATATTTGGATTGTAATCTGTAAGTTGTTTGATTTCCTCATAGTTTGGTTTAACACCTCTACAGTTCCATTGTATTATGCTTGTATTTGGTTTACCCATTTGAGTGGGAATTATTGTTAGTTTTGAGTGGATCTTAAGGATGACTATGTCCCTGGAAAGTGCACTGTGGTTTTGTTTACAGTTAGGACATTTTGTTTCATTTGGGAATGTGATCCACATACTGGCTTCTTGTGCATTGATTCTTACCTTTGACAACTGAAACATCTCAATGGGTTAGGAATATATGTTTCTACTTTGGAAACTGTATATCCAATTTTTATTTCATGTGGTGATTCTGATGCATCAAAGGTAATAATGTGTGTTGGTGTCTATCCTTTTTTTTAATAGATATTCTTTTTATATCTATAATGGTCTTTTTTTGATAGAATTATTGTTTTTAATTTCCTCCAGTGTACACAGTGAGAGTTTGGTGTTTCTTACAACACCTTTGGAAGAATTTTAAAATTTGAGTGGGTAGACCTTTACTATCATGAAATTTGGTCATCCTTAGTAAAGTTTCAGTGCATGTTTTACTTCTATCAGTAGTGTATTATTTCTACATTTTTTTTAATTGTTTTTGGAGTTATCTGAGTTGCTAAGATTTTTTCTATTACAAAATGTAACAACTTCATTATTAGTTTGCTTTTTGTTGGTTCTATTACTATGAATCTCAAAAGTTTTTTCTTTGATTTTCTTTGTCAATGTGTAGTCTCTTGTTTTTTTTTGTTCATATTTTGCTTATTATTGTTATTATTCATCAGCCATGCTCCTCATCCACCTTGATATGAGGGTGATGATGAGGGATGAAATCTCATCCACCTCATTCCTCCAGGGCTACATGACTGGTATACTCAAATGCGTGGAGAGTTCCAAGCACCTGTTCAAGCCAAGATCGTCCACCCAAGTATGGCCTTTCCTCAGAAGTTGAAACATCCATGTCAGATTCCTTTGTTTCCAATCTGATTGACACTACAGCCACCACTTACTAAGTCAGTTTAATGTTTGATATGGCAAATGTGAGCGCATTTTGTTTTTTTGTTAGTCTGACTTCATAAGACCAACTGGTTGTTTGGATCGGGCCTTTCTTCCGAATTTCAAACTAAACTCTTTACTTAGTCCATGGGAGTAGAAGAAGACGTGAGCATACAATGGCCAAAATGTTGTGAATAGCAACAAAGATGACAACAACAATCCAAACAATGTAAATAGTGTAGATAGTTACAATGCCTCATCTCAGAAATATAAACAGAGATTAATGGGGGTTTGAGTTTGCAGATGTGTTTTGTTGCTATTTGTTGTGGTAGTAAGAGTACCATGTGTAACAAACTATCATTCTCTTTTAAAGAGAACTGCAAATTGTAAGTGAAAGACTCTTGCAACAATATAACTGTTCTATGTGGATCCCTCCAAAATGGCTTTCTGTATAGCATAGCAACAACTGAATCATTAATTTGAAAATAACACTCATAACACATTTGCTTTATAGACAAAGCCTATGGCCTTTCCATTGAATGAGCAATCAAGTGACTAAATTGATAACATTTTTATTGTTACACATTCTCCAGTTTCTATTTTGAAAAAGGAAATTTACAGGGGAGTCTATCAGATTTCCACTTATTATTTGTACATTTTAAATATACTTGTGATAAGGAAGTTTGCAATCAAAATAGCCTCTGATCAGGGGCATACCAAGGCAAAGTGACCAATACTCATAATGTTACCCACTTTTTTTTGAGGAAAAATATAAATGAAATACCCTTAATGGCGTTGATTAGTATTTGAAAATCAACAAATTCAAAAATTAGCTGAAAAAACATTATCATATCTAACATTTCCAGCTTTTGCAAAAGCAAAGTTACTAAGAACTTGGTCAAAGTCTATCTTCTCAGTTTCATGTTCAATTGAAATGAGGGACAAATTGGATAAGCAATCTTGTGACATACTCGATCTCAAGTGACTTTTAATGAACTTCAATTTTGAAAAGCTTCTCTTTGCAGTAGCAACAGAAACTGTGAGCGTCAAAAACAGCCGTAGAGCTATCGCAATATTTGGTACTGTTTCTTGAACTTGCCATCGATAAATCCATCTCAGCCATTCGACAGCCGATGATTTGGTCATCATGGTCATGTCACATTCCACTTTGGAAGCTGCCGCTAAAAAATCTCAAGGTCAGCACCGCATTCGCTACAGAGAATTTTTAATTTTCACTCCAACTCGCTTTCAGTATCTTCCAGGATTGTTTGCGATGATAATCCAACGAAAACAGTTTGCAGATGAAACATGGAGTCAAATCGTGCTTCCAGTTCATTTTCAAGTCGATCGTGATATTCGTAAAGATTTCTCTTTACTTCCTGCACGAGTGTTTGACACACATCATCTTCCTTTTCCCTAGGTAGCATTCTCTTTCTTTTAACCCGCTTTTCCTTTTCGTCGCACTTTGCTTTACTTTGATTAACTGATTCAGACACTAGCCTGACCCTGTTTAGGTTAAAGAAAATTTTGGTTGCATCCATGTGGGTTACACACACACACACACATCCAAACCAATACCAGGTTCTTGAAGTTTCTTTTGGATCAGATTTATTTGTTCCAGAATTTCTTTCCAGTAAAACAAATGTGACATAAAAGAGAAGTTTTCAATTGAAAGCAAAATGATTTGTGCATCTCCTCTTGTTTGAAGATTTTCTGAAACTGGGGTTAATGAATCGAATGCCTGAATCATTCCTTGAAATCCAGTTTTCGCTGCATGAATAGCTTTGTAACATGCACTCCATTACCAAACGCTTCATCATGACCGTCACATGCGAAGATAAAACTTCCTACTGGTGATTGGAAGAGGAGAAAAATGTATAGAATCTCTCAATCACACCGAAAAATGTAATAGCACTTGCATTCACAGCTGAGGCATGAACACCACATAAATTCAGATTATGATTAGAACATGGCACAAATTTAGCTTTCCCATTTATGTTTTGTAGAAGACGTTGAAAAATCACTATGAACTCCAGCCATACTAGCCGCATTGTCAAATCCTATCCCGCTACATTTTTTTGACATCAAGTTTCTTTTTCTCCAGTTGATTCAAAATCATATTCTTGATATCATAAGTTGTCTTCCCATGCTCAGTGATAAAACCAAAAAATGATTCCCACACCTCCACTTCTTTGTCTTCAACAACAATATATCAACAAATGAAACTCATCTGATCAGTATGAGAAATGTCCAGCGTGCTGTCTAGTATAATCACAAAATAATTGGCTTTTCGAATTCAATCCAATATATTTTCCTTTACATGGTTTCCAAAGATATGAATGAATTCATTTTGGATTTTCAGTGACAAGTATCGCCGATTATCATTTACTACTTTCAAGTAATGCTTTCCAAAAACATGATCATACTTGATCATAAGTTCAACAAATTCTATAAAGTTTCCTTTATTGGAACTATATACATCTTCTCGATGATCTCTAAAAGGCAGGTTCTGTTTCGTCAGAAACTTCATATAAACCGTGCTAAAACCTGTTACCAAATCTGTGTCTCTTTCATAGTTTGTTCTTGTAATTTACTGTCAAGGGTTTTACCTTTATTAAGGGTCATTTCCAACATCTTCCATTCCTTGAAAGCTCTTTGGTGGTCAGACGAATTTTCATTTTCAGGTATTTTTGAATTAAGCTTCCAGAACTTTTGAAATCCTGGATTTCTTGCTAGACTTGATTTGCGTTGTTCTGTCTTCAAGAAGAGGTGACAGCAGAACCAATAAAGAGATTTGTTCCTCTTTGAGTACAGCAGCTAAAACAGTTTCTCCATTCTCCATAGTTTTATAAAAGCAGTGTTGTAGCATTACTCTCAAACTATTTTTCCCAGTCTTACAGTTGGAGCAAATGGTTCATCTGTGTTTTGAAACATTTTAGGTCCCAATGTTACAAGATCAACAAGCAACTGCCCTGAGCAAGTTCATGGCCAAAATATGATATTTTTGTACACAGTAATCACTATGTTTGCCTGTTCTAATTTTTTTTTATTTCCAGTAACTTCATCAGTTTCTTCTTCATATTCATACCTGTCCTTATGGCATGCACTGGAACTTTTTTCCTTTGGCACATTATCATTGTCACCTTCAATTTCTTTAACATTAATTCCTGCAGGAAATTCCTCTTCAACTTTTATTTCTATATTTGTCTCCACCATATTCGCATTTTGCTTTAGTTACATATTTCTTCTGTAGAAGACATATAAAGATGCAGCACATTTTCTTTCCTTGCCTTCTCTGGTAGTTTTCAACTTACAGTAAGCCATGCCACTCAGTTTTTGCCATTTACTAATTCTAATCAATAAAAAAAGAATCAAATAGGAAAAGAGCATACTTAATGGCATAGGGAATTTTTATTTATTGTACTAAGATACAATTTGGCACCAAGCTGAAAGTGGGGTTGTAAAAAAAGGTTGATAATTTTTTAACTATCCCAAACTTAGCTAGACACATTTGTGACCCATTCACATCTTATAATGGCATGGGGAAGTGTTGCTTAAAAATAGAAGTAAATAAATTAAATCTTTTCTTAAATTTAATTTTTAAAATTTACTAACTTTTTTTTCTTATACATTTTTCTTATCCCTTCTTATTTCATTCTTATATTCAATATAATAATTTAAAATTTAATCCATAGTAATGGTCATAATAGCTGAACATTGAACATCATTAAAATTTTAGAAGAAATGTTCACTTCAGATACTTGCATTAAACGTTAACTTATTTTTCAGAGAACTCACTGACAATTAATTTTTTACACAAAGTAACTATCCCCTGATTATTTTGCCAACGTATACTTTTTTAACCATATGGCGTTATGAAAGATGGTAATGAAACTAAACTAATAAGGACAGAAATATTTAATAACAATTTATTTCCATCAGTCCAGCCAATTATTTAATAAAAAAATATTCATGTTTTAAAATAAAGTTTTTAAAACAATAAACATTAAAAGTCAATATTAAATAATTACAATTATGACTTGTAATACTAATATAAAAAGTTAATCTTGTAATATGCACTAGATTTGATTTTTCTGAAAATGTTTAGTTTAAAAATCTCTAAAAAAGTTAAAATTTAATGTAGAATGTTATTATTTTCATATAATAATTCTAAAATAGTGACTTCAAGGAAAATCTATTGAAATCTGTGAAGAGTACAATATTTATACAGTTTTTGAGCTTTAAAAATTACAAGTTTAGAAAAACTTTCGAAATGTAAACAAACTTTAAATTGTGTATATTCCTAGTTCTGCTTTTCAATGAATCTTTTTCTTTATTTAAAAAAAAAATCTCCAATTTTTTTTTAGATATATATATTTTGGTTGTACAAAATATACAATATAGTGGGGATGTCTCTTCTAATGTCCCAGTGTGGTCTTGTAGTCTCAGCAAGAGGTCACTCACAGCAAGGCCAGTTCAAAGTACCAGCATTTCAAACAGTCACCCAAGCTTATTAAAAGCTGAGGTCGCCAATAGGGTGGTATGTCATGTGTTTGTGATCATCCAAACAAAAAGAAATGAATGTTAAAAAAAAAATTGAATTGAAAAAACAAAATATTAGATTTCTTTTTTGAAATGCCAAAACATAAAAATGAATGATTGTGTCTTCAATTTTTTTTCATCTGCAAAATGCTGCCCCCATAAAGTGAAGCCCCAGGTCCACCACTGCTTCTAATATGTTCATTTCAAATATAACAAGAGAAAGACAGAACACAACAGAAACTATCTTCAGTCTTGTGCAGAATATCCTGAAAATCTTATTTTAAATGTAACTTTATAAGAAAATTATGTCAGTTTGAAACATGTGTCAGATTTCAGAGTCAAAATTTCTGAAATTCCTATTTAGGAAACTGAACAGTACATAAGTTAGAAGCAAAGTTGGAATTTCAAGAACTGCAAGCAGATGCAACATACCTAGAGTATGCAGTAACTGGAAAGCTGTGAGCCAGGCTTCAGGAATTGCAGCTGCTGAACCATAATTAAGATTTGGTGGAATAGGCATCACATGATCTGCATTGACAGCAACATATTGAGCATAGGCTCCTCCTGAAAAAGGAAATCATCAGTTGATAGCTTATTAGTGAAATATTAATACTGAAAGGTGACTGATGCAAAATAGACAAAGGTAGACAGAATAATTACAAGTTACACCAAAACTAAAGTTCAAAATTATAATTATACCAACAGTTACAAAATGCCATATTTTTTCTGTGTCAAGAAACAATTCCATAATCAGGATTAGTTTATATTTGCATGAAATGATACTTCCCTCATGAAATTGTTCCATTTCTATAATCCTTACTGTGGGGGTGGGGGCATAAACAAAGAAAAATGTATTTTGTTAAAATTGCACTATAATCCCTGGAAGATTATGGTGGATGTTAATAACATAGTAACAAAATATATCTCATGGAAATCACAACAAAAAGAAATAAAACTAAACCAGCTAACAAAAAAAAAAAAAAAAAAAAAAAAAACCTCCCACCCCTCAATCTTTCTCCTTCCAATGTTTGCAATATCTGTTCCAACTTCTGCAGCGTAGAATCCTTCCTCCTGGAATGGTCACCAGATATCTTTGCCCTTTGTGAAATGAACTTGAATTCTTCCATTGCAACCAATGAATTCTTGATTCCAGAGTATCTTCCTCTTTGCTGAAAAGATTCCAGCATTCACATGCATGGACTTGGTGCTTACATTCGAGATAATCTATCGATGACCAGAGAATTTTCTCTTGAAGTTGCTGACTACTCTTTCATGTGCTTCCGTTTTTCGCTACTAAACTCTGTCTTCTATCTCTTTTTCCTCTATTGCTCCCCCTCTTCCCAAGACTGCAGTATATTAGATTCAATAGCTGACAGTATAAAAAAGCACTTTCTCTCCATCTATCTGCAAACATCTTTGCCTTCAGTGACTTTAATACCCACCACAACACGTGACTGAAACATTCTAAAAGGTACTGATGTTGCTGGTAGGCAGACATTAAATTTTTCCATTGCCCAATTCCTCACTCATATTGTGGGCTTCTCTACTTGTCTCCTTAGCCAAACTGAGCAACAGGCTTCTCTACTGGATGTATTTCTTACCTCCTCTTGCCAAGCTTCACAATACTGCTGTCTAGGTAACTCAGATCACTTTGAGGTAGCTATTGATATCTCCTTCCAAGCATCCATTAAACAGGAACCCCTTTATCCATAAAATCTATTTCCGTTACCAGTATAATGATTAGGACTCATTCTGAGATTTTCTTTGTGGTGCTCCTTGGACTGACATTTTCAACCTCCCAATTGAAAATTGTGCCACTGAGTTTTCTTCTTGGGTCAAAGCTGGCATGGACACTTTCCTCCCTTTTCAGAAACACCAGATGAAACTGCAATCTCTTCATCATTGATACCAGCATGCTTGGCTGCCATAGAACACAGGAACTACTATTTCTGGTTATACCAGCATGACAGCTCTAGTCATAACAGAGGCCTATTTGCAACAAATCTAAGAGTGTCCTCAAAGAAGCCAAGTCTCTGTTTGCTGAGAGAATGAGGCACCACATAGCCTCTAAAATCTTTGGCTCTTGTGATTACTGGCATCTGTACAAAATAAATGCAAGGTCTCTATTCCCCACTTCTTCAATTTATTTGAAGTGTTCTCATCTGTTGATGAAACTGAATGCTTTGCCCATAAATTCTCCTCAAACTCTAATTGACTCATCTGGAGTATCCTTGCTTAACTTCCCACTTAGAACTGATTCTCTGTTGAGTGATATGCATATAACCCCTTCAATGATTCTTGCTATCATCTCTAGCCTGGATCCCCACAAAGCATGTGGAGCCGATGGTATCCCTGTAATAGTCATTAAGAAGTGTGTGCTCCTGAACTAAACTATAATAAATGCCTCCTGCTTTCCTGCCTGCTTGAAGTCATTGTCTGTTGTTCCAATTTTTAAGAACTCTGGTGAACAATCCCACCAATCCAACTATTGACCAATTAGTCTTCTACTTCTTTTTGGGAAGCTCTTAGAGTCCTTAATCAATGTTGAATTGGTTCATCATCTCTCATTGCAGGGCCTTTCCTCAGACAAGCAATACAGCTTTTGTTTCCAGGTTAACTGCTGATGTGCTAATGGTAACTGAGTATCATGCTCTAGATAAAAATGGTGAAGCCTGAGCTGTAGCATTGGATATCTCAAAAGCCTTTGATGCTATCCTCCAGGAAAGTGACTCGTTGTGCCTTTTTAAGCTAACATTCCCAGCTGACATGATGTGAAAAGACTATATTGAATTCATTGCTAGGTCAGCTGCTAAGAAAGTCAGTTCACTGTTCTGGACGAGACAATTTTTCTCTGGAATAAGCAAAAATTAAAAAATTATTTTTTATTAATGGGTGACCCATTTATGAAAAGATAATTTCTTAATTTTTCACAACACATTTTTTAGACAAAGCCATTCATAAAGTAACAGTTATCTCTACCTAATCAAAAATGAAATTTATTTCATTTGCATAAACACTAGATGGAGATCATCACTCCAAAATCTAAACGTCTATAGATGGGCTGATTATGGCTCTTACTGTTATTCTATGTGACACTAGCAAATGAAAAAGAAAGAGTTAAAATTAAAATATAACTTGGAACAAAATGAAAAGGTTTAATGTTACAGAATGACATAAGCCAAAAGAAGCAAGCAGAAGACTTGAAGAAAATGGCCTTCTTGTCCTGAGAAAGATATTACCAAAAGGTCATCTGGAGAATTTAAATCCACAAGGGGTTGGGGAGAGATGGTATTAGAGCACTCAGAGTTGGCTAACAGAAATTTTCTAAACAAAGTAAAAATAGATAAATTAATTTATGGTCACTACTAAAAGTGAGGGTTATGAAAGCGTCTGTGGAAAGGAAGCAGATTGAAAAATAATATTTGAGAATTTTCAGAGATGAAGGCAAAAGTTAAAGGAAGTGATTTATTTACCCTGTCAAAAAAGCAGAAGATATTAAACAATTTGAGAAACAGAATTTTATACCCTGCTTGAAGAAATTGAGATAAGAAATGAACCTATGAGGTTCATAAGTGTGATTAAGTGAAAAAGATATCTGTAGATGTCTGTCAGAGGAAACAGCTGGTAAATTTCTGATTATATAAACAAGAATTAGGTTGGGAAAATTTGCTGATGAAAATCAAAATGATAATTGCAATTAATGACTAGAAGCTAAGCCATGCCACACGGTTTAAAAATCGGATTTGTCAAAATGACAACCAAGGTAACAGGCTTAGGTAAGATACCAAGAGAGACAGAGGAATTGCTTACTCCAAGTTCCCAAATCCTGTCAGTCCCATGCCAGTCTTAAGTAAGAGTTAATATAAGCAGAGCACTGAAGTGACCAAGCCAATTGGAGTAGAGTTGCAACTGTTCTGGAGGGAACAGATGATGAGAGACAACTACGCTGACAAAGCACACATGATCCAAAGAGAACTCCCGACTTGTTCCAGAATTAGCTTTGATTGGCAAAATGTCACTATGGAAATCAAAGTGGGAAGGGTTAAGTTTTCTGTATGAAAAACTACATAAACCACATAGAAAACTGACCAAAAGGATCTCAGTTTCCTTTAATTTTGTCTGAAAAGATGACACAACTTCACTGTGGTTTGAACCAACACTATAATTGCTGACAACAACTCCGTCCATACTGGCTCTATGATCAAAAAGCACAACACGGATGGAGTAGAGCGCAGACTGAGACAGCCAAAATTCATTGATCAGCAGCAGTATCGACCAGCATGTGAAGTGACCCAGGAACAACCGATGAGAAGTGCTATATTACCACTTTTTGCTGAAATTGAAATTTAAAAGAATGAAGAAAGCTGAAAAGCAGATGATTTACGATATAGTCAAGTTAAAGGATAATATCTTGAAAGAAAGATCCCAAGCAGTTTCCTGTAAGCATATGATTGCTGAACAGTAGGTTGTGATGAGTACTATTAGTTTGCAAAGATTGACCTTCCCATCTCTTATATTCCATTGATGTATGTTGTTAGTCATGTTTCTATTTTTTGTGAGGTCCTTGTTTAGGTGGGTTAGATGTTCCTGGGTTCTGTCCCTTGACATCCTTCATCATCTCTAAACATTTGAATTTATTTTGTGTAATTTCTATCATGATTTTTGGTTTTAGCTTTGAGTTGGGTAGAAGTTGTGCTTGTCCTTTTTTGTTAGTGGGCTTTTTGTTCTTTTCAGCTGCTTCATCCTGGATTGTTTTTTGGTTTCTTTGTTTTTTGTTATAGTGGGTGTTTATTAGTTTCTCTACCCACCTCCTCCTCCCCCATGCTTGCTTTATTTCTGAGTGATTAGTTTGTTTTTCATTTTACTTATATTGTTCTGTCCTATCGTGGTTTTATTCAGCCCTTGGATGAGAATTTATAGTATTGGTAACATTGGTTTTTGAAAGTATCAGTTTTATTTCATTTATAAATTTGGGCAGTCATATGGTCCCAATTGTAGTAATTTTGTTACAAAATATCTCATATTTTGTATTTTGATTTTTGGCAATCTGTGAGTAGGTTTTATCTTCCATGTAGCCTTCCACAATTTTTCATGCTTCTGGAAAAGGGATGTTCTTTGTATATTTTACATTCATTATCTCTTTTTCTTTTTTCCAGATTTTATATGATCTGGCATAGGCTGGATGGTCTTCACCATAATTTGCACAACTTCAGTTAAGTTTACAGTCATTGGATGGTGTCATCCAGAACTCTTTTCCTGAATCTGCTGTATATTGTTCACCCATTACATATATTTTCGTGGTGGCCAAATTTTTGGTATTTAAAGCATTGCAGTGGCTTTGGGATGAATTGTTCCACTCTTTCGCTGTTGTAACATATTTTTATTTCTTTAGGAATGGTAGGTATGTTGAAAGTCATCATGTTTGTATGCTTGCCTGGCCTTGGAGTTTACATCAAGGACCATCTCCTGCTGGCTAGAGAGTTGTCTCTTGAATCTCCAGACCATTTGTACATGTGTCTCCGGCTATCTCTTCTCAATGCTGTAAGCTACCTCATCTTCCTTTA